CGGCTCGTTATGAATATTCAAGAAAGTTTAGGGGAGATCACTCCCGGTTTATTTTTATTTTTGCATAAAGCACCTTAAAAAGACACAAATTCTATGCTCTAGCTTTTAAATGTAGACGAGATTAGACTTGTAATTTGAAACTTTATTATTAGAATATGATCAAATGTGTAATCTCTTTGTGAGATCTAGCTAAGAGAAGGAAGTCCTTGTATACATTGTCGATTCTTGGAGTGGGTGATTTTCCTGAGACATTCTCTCTCACTCACTCACACTCACTCACTTACTCACACACACACACACACACACACACACACATACAGACACACACACACACACACACACACACACACACACACACTTGGCAATCGTTCACTGAGAAATTTCTTAAAACAACCGACACTAAACGAAGAGCGATACATCTCGTCATGATTTATCCTTAACTCTATCCACACCTTGAAGAAAAAAAGCTCTGAAAACATCCACCACGCTATGACATTCAAGAGCACTTTAACAAATTCTATTATCTGTCACTTCAGAGGGTGATGATTTCTTCTTTTATAACTAATTCATTGCGTGTTGATCAAGTATGCAAAACATCATCACTAATTACGGTGTTTTAATTGTAAAACAAAATTCATGTCAATATAACCACACTCTCCCCCACCCTCCATACACACACTCTAACCTAAAAACAATCTTTAAATTAAAATACAAGAAATATAGCTACTGCCATTCTCATCCTTATGTTTAGGCATATACACGTGTATACAAATACATATGCATTCATGCACATATACATACACACACACAGGCATACTTGCACAATACCAACATATATACATAAATATAGGCTGCATAATATCATGCATACATATACATTTGCTACATACCCACATGCATACATATACATTTTCTACATACCCACATGCATACATATACATATGCTACATACCAACATTCATACATACATATAGGCTACATATCATCATGCAAACATTTACATATCCTACATAACTGCATGCATACATGTACATTTGCTACATACCTATATGCATACATATACATAGGCTAGATACCCACATGCAAACATATACATATGCTACATACTCATATACATACTTATACATATGCTACATACCAGTACGGCACTTAATGGTGTCACCCCCCCCCCCCCCACAGAGGCGTAGCGACCCTTCCCGGGGACAAATTTTCGAGTTGCACCCCCCCTTGAACTTTCGATTTGCACCCCCCCCCCTCAAGTTTTTTCTCTATATATTTTGCTATTTTTTGCCTTGGTGTCACCCCCCTAAATGGTGTCACCCGGTGCGGTCCGCACCCCCCTCCCCCCTTGCTACGCCTCTGCTACATACCCACATACATACATATACATATGCTACATACATGCATACACATACATACATATACATATGCTACATACATGCATACACATACATATGCTATATATCCACATGCATACATATACATAGTCCACATGCCCACATGAATACATATACACATGCTACATAATACATACATTTACATGCATACATCAACATTACATACATACATACATAACGCCGTTAGCACATTCTACACGTTGTCATTAGTAATTACTCTCCCGCACTTACTCTCAATTATCTCCAGCTAATTTCTTCTCTCCCCTCATCTACCGTTACGATGCTTTTACCCCCCCCCCCCCACCCCCACCCCTACCTTCCCCCAACCCACACGCGAGATCATCAACCCAAGACGTAAGCTGACGTAGCTGTAGTCTACAAGAAAATTCTTAAAATCGATTTCTTCTCTCTTTGAGCTCAGGAGCACTTAATCCCTGCCTTGACTTGTTCAAGCGGTTTAATCATGTTCAAAAATGCACGGATGAGATCTAAGTTCCGACCCGTGATCTAAATACTGCAACACAGCCGGGTTGGGGGTGGGGGGAGGGGGGATTTTTTAATGACTTGATTTTTTTTTACTTTGTTTAACTTTAAGCAAAGGCTAAGAGCTGTTTTACTGCTTTAAGCAGAATGTGTTATGGTAAACTTTATTTAATAATAATTTATTATTGATCCTTGCTCGCGATTTTAAAAATAAATGTCAGTTAAAATAAGATGATTATATCAGACAGAGCGGGGTAGCCTAGCGGTAGAGAGCTAGAATCCGGGTTCAAATCAGTACAGCGTCACCGAGTCCACCCAGCTCTAACTCACGTTGGGGAAACAAAGGCGTCTGGGCATAGTGCCGATTACATTTCCCCCTCCCCCTTGAAAAACAAGTTCATTTAAACACATGAACTCTACTTCATCTGCCTCATGTGTCCAGCGCACACACGGGAAAAGATGATGATATCCGAGAGATGCGGTTAATCACAAGGCTTATAGTTTATCTTGAAAGCACAAATATTTTAGTAACAAAAATAACAAAATTGAAGTTGTGTCATAGAACTGAACTAAAGGACGTATTTTGAATCGAAAACTTTGGTACATAATTCTCTGAGACAAAAACGATCATGCATTTATAGAATGGAGTAGATATGGTAGGCTAATTGGTCATTTATTCATAGAAAGATGTAAGCATCGTAGGCTAAATTTTCATTAATTTATTGAAAGATGTAAATATTGTAGGCTAAATGGTCATTTATTCAAATGTTAGGCTTGATGATTATTTATTTAATAAACCGGGAGTGATCTCCCCTAAACTTTCTCGAATATTCTTATATAAAATAACAGGGGATGGGAACTCGGGCTATAGACATGATTTTTAATCCATTTTTAATACTTAAAGTTTTAAAAATAGAATAAAATCTCGTAGACAAATTAATTGCACACCAAGTGAACGCAAAATAAAAAAGCGCATAATAGTGCGCAATATTATTAGTACTTTTAAAATTTACATTAGTTTTTGAGAAATCGGAAGTAGCGTAAAGTACTACTTCCGGTCAACGGAAATTACTCAAACTTTAACAGAAGGTAGAGAATTAGATCTTTTACCTACATGTGAAATTTCATTTATCTATCTGAAATAGTACTCAAGTTATAGGCTTTTGAAAAATTCAAAGTAGAAAAAGTACCACTTCCGGTTGTCGGAAATCGCTCAAAAGTTGATACGGATCTACGATTTTGATATAATACTTATATATGAAATTTCATCAACCTAGCTGTAACGGTACTCAAGTTATCGTGTTTACACACGGACACACAGACACACAGACACACAGACACACACACACACAGACATACGGACAAGATTGCAAAATTATGTTTTTCCGTATCAGTGAGGTGTAAAACGTCGAGATCTGTAAAAATCTCGATTTTTTTTTTTTTTTTTTTTTTTTGCACGATTACAATACTTTCTCTATACTTCGTATATACGAGAAAGTAAAAAGTGATGTAAATACGGTAAGCAATATGGTCATTTAATTTTAGACTAAAGGGTCATTTATTCGTAGAATGATGTACATATTGAAGGCAAAAATTGGTATCTATTAATAGAATGGTATAAATATGGTAGGAGTAATTGTCATTTATTTATATAATGATGTAAATACGGTAGCAAAATGACGTAAATATGATAGGCTGAAAGGTCATTTTTTAAACAAACTTTTTTTTATGTTCAACGATAATGTATTCCCTCCCCTGTTCCTTGGCGGAAGTGACCAGCATGACCATAATGCCCCACCCTCGATTGCGCTAATTGGTGTATTCTCTCGCACGTGCAATTACATCACCAGACCAGTCATGGTGGGTAAATCCTAATCCATGACCCCAGTGTGACCTTTTGACCCCCAGGTCATCAACACGGCGGGCATCTCATAAAGGTGTTGATTGCGTTTGTTTGAAAGGAATTGATTGGCGCATAAATTAATGAGAAGTGTGGGGAGTGGGAGTGGGGGGGGGGGGATGAAATAATTAGCTCACACGACGGGAGCTCGTTACGGATGATGATATCGCCCTTGAACGTGGGAGGGTGGGAGGTGGCGTTGTTATATTACATGAGCATATCCGTCACAACGCATACAATGGTCAGCGTATGCACGTGTCTAGTTATAGGAGATACGGTCAATGTCGCCTGTGGCTGCGGATATTGATATGGACTCCAATATCACATGGTGCGGGATCGATGACAAGAACCGAAACATGCGTAGTCTGGTGCTTGACTCTTCGTGTTTCTGACTTGTTACATGCATGCTTGTTGTATTCGAACCTCTAGTGTTATAACCACCCTATAGAGTAATTGTGTTTTTCTGATGTAGTTTAAGTTAGGCATTAAGTTAACAAATATAGTCTGCAAGTGCAATCTATATACATACACACATTACACTTGTACACAAACTAAAGTGTGTATATATTATACAGTATGGGACGGCGTGGCCTAGTGGTAGAGAGCTGGACTGCTAACCCGAAATTCTCGAGTTCGAATACGGGTTCAAGTCAGTAGAATGTCCTAGAGTCCAATCAGCTCTGATGGGTATCTAATGTAAGCTACGGAAAGTAAAGGCGGCTGGACGTACTGCTGACTACAATATCCCTTCTCATGCCGAGGTCTCTGAAGCAGATGAACTCTACCTCATTTGCCCCATGTGTCTTGTGCACGAACAGGAACAGATGATGATTAATATTATTTATATTTGCAAGTGTGTGTACGTGCGTGAGCGTGTGGGCGTGCGTGCGTTCTGTATGTGTGTATTGGACAATATATATGTATATATATATATATATATATATATATATATATATATATATATATATATATATATATATATATATATATATATATATAATGTATACGTGTACATATACATGTTCCAAGAGTATCTACACGGAGATGAAAGAGCCTCTACAATAACCAAAATGGCAACATTCCTCATGTTATACTTCGGATTATAAGATTCTGAATTCAATAATTGGTATATAATTTAATGCTTTTAACTGTTTACTTTTATTTTAAGATATATATTTTCTTTCCCGCACCCTATAGGCTACATCCACTTTGTGGAGCGGATGACGGATGTGACGGTGGAGGAGGGCGGGAAGGCCAAGTTCCTGTGTCCCACCACGTCCATGCCGCGTAACCTGGGCAAGAGCCTGCCCTTCTCGGTCTACTGGACGTTCGGGGGTCACCGCCTGGACATCATAGACACGGACCTGGAGACCGAGAGCCACTACACGTCCAAGGTCTTTGACGGCCGGCACGTGTTGATCATCTCCAAGGTCAAGCCCGAGGACGAGGGGGAGTACGAGTGTGTGGCGACCCTGGGGGATAGGTCGGATAAAGCAGTGGGGAGACTTTTTGTTCTGCGTAAGGAAATTTTTTGGGTTAGGTTATTCACAGGTTATAGAAGCTACAGATCGGTATGGTTGGGTGATAGAACCTGTATTTCTAAATTCGGATGCCGGGCTTTACCATAACCTCGGACTGTGTTCTGAAGACGGAGCTTTTTTTGGCTGGAAATGTCTGAATTTTGTTAGAAGCGACTCGCAAATATGTCAAAATAATTTAACTTTGTAAACAAGCAAACACGTATTGCATTGTTTCATGGCTGATGAAACGATTTGAATTAGTGTAAGGATTAGGATCAGGGTAAAAGAAACGATCTTAGATTTTAAAATATTTTCCAAACTCCTAATCGGAATTCTTACAAGTATGTAAGTCATCATAATCATTTTGTATAAATAAGGCTATTTGTTTAGAACTTCTGGTACTGTGTAAATGTTGAGGTTAGATATCACTGGAATGTGTATTTAATAAATAGCGTGCTTGCGCATAAGGTTAAGGCTAGAATAAGGGTTAGATTTTTGTCTAAGGACGTACCAATGGGCAGCGGGTCTACGAAAAATTCTCGAAAGACTCTTGCCTGAATGCCTTTTTCTTGAATGGACACTTACCCGAATGGGACAAATGCCTGAAAGCCACTTGCCCAATCGGCCATTTGTTGCATTCGGGTAAGTGTCCATTCTGGAAAACAGCCTTCGGGCAAACTGGATTCGGGCAACTCGGGCAAGTGTCTTTCGGGAAAAACAACCGGCTCCCCTGGGCATGATTAGAATTGCAGCTTGTCTAGAAATGCAGTTATTATTCAAATTGATTTGCGTGACTAAGATAATTATATTTGAACAACAAACAAAAATCATTTAATAAAACTTTATTTTACTTTCACCTTAGGACCACCTGACCCCCCACACGACGTCCGCGTCCTGGGTTGCCACGGCAACACGGCCGAGATCGCCTGGGTGTCGGGCAGGTCTAACGGGGCCAACATCACGGGCTTTACCGTACAGTTCAACCTGCGGGACAGCCCCGACACCTGGTTCGACTTCTACGAGGAAATCCTCCCTGACAAGAGCAAGTCGTACGTCGAGCTCTCCCCGTACGGGACGTATTCGTTCCGCGTCCTGGCCAGGAACGAGGTGGGGACGAGCCGGCCTAGCTCCGTGACGTCCAGGGAGTGTACGACCCCACCGGACAGGCCGGACCGGAACCCGGGGGGCGTCCGGACGAAAACGGATAAGAAGGGATACCTTGTTATAGAATGGGAGGTGAGTAGTGTTGGGAAATGTATGCTGGTATTTTGGTCTTAGCTTAAGAATTGTTGTAATTATTGTTTTTCGCTTTTTTTTTTAAATTTTATTTAAAAGAATAGAGTGAATGGAGTATAGACAAGTACACTTTTAATTGTATGCTAATATTTTTTGTTTCTTTGTTGTGCGTTTGTTTTTATGTGGGGTTCTTTCGGTTAGTTTATATTTTAGCTGTACAAACAATGCAGGCATTAAAATATAATAAACTGAAAGTCGAGTCAAATTCGTTACACGACGCCTATTACACTCGCAAGACAAAATAACATAATCAACAGCCTTTTAGATCTACTCATACTAAACAATGACACCCTATACACCCATCAACCCGCCCTTGCTAATAACAATCTACTCACTCATCAACAATTACACCTCATGTACCCATCAACCCACCCTTGCCTATAACATAAAGTTCCCTCATTCACGAAGTATCACAAAACTATCTGTGTAACAAACTTACAGTTCTTTGCGATACAGTGTATCGTAAAAACACAACAAAGGCAAATGATTGTTTATGTTTCGCTTTGTGTACTAAATTATAAAAAATAACATCAATACGCCGAATGTAATTTCCACAAAAAAATCTCTTTACATTTCTTTGTTGTTGTTGTTTTTATTTTACAAATGTTGATTATTATTCTCTCAAACTATTTTTATTGACAAAATCAAAAGAAAAAAAAAACATTTTAATTTAAAACAATTTATTAGTCTTTGTGTTTATTTTTATAAAAAGACCTTCATTGTTTTTCTATTTCACCTTTGTGCTCACACTTTAAAAAGACCCCTAATAGATTTATAATAAAGGGTTTTGTTTGCCATATTTTACAACCGGAATTGGTTCATCTAACCCGGTTTCCTTCCACTGACTTCCGGTCGCTGCTTTCTTATCAGCGGCAAAAAATCGACGCCATCTTCCAGGCAAACATTGCACATCAAAGACCCCCATAAACTGCCGTCACTCGCTTAGACCAAGCCGTAATGCCATTAGCAATCAGCATGTGATGGGTTCTGTTCTGCCACAATGACTATCGATTTTTTTAAGGTCTACGGTAAAAAAAAAATAATCGATAGTTTAAGATGTTCGATCAAACAGGCTTGATTGCCTGTTGTTCAGGAGGCTCTTCTGTATGCGGAGTTTACTGTTAAGGAAATGTCAGTTGTAAAAAGGCGAGTTGTTGAACCGTGACGGAGAAAGTAATTCTAGCGGGGGTTCACGGATGAGAGGTGTTAGGGTTAGAGAGTGCAGAGTGTAGAGTGTAGAGTTTTTAGTTGTACTGTAAGCAGAGTGTGGTTAAAGAGTGTGGTGGGGTAATATTTTTTTTTACTGCGCACTTGTATAAGTGGGTGACACGAATCTCGGTGTCAACGAAAGTGATATTGTGTTCAGTTGGATAAAATGAACTTGTAGTTCAATCACTGCACGGTGATTAGAAGCGTAATAGCCCAGAACCTAAAGGACACACCGCAAGCACTCATGAGCTATTGAAATGGTGCCACAGTGTACGGTAAACGATACTGATTTCTGCTCCGCTGAGTTTAAACTAAATTAAGTTCTGAGAGTCGACCCAGCTCAATTTAGTACCTGGCAGTTAAACAATTTAGCGGCTGGTGATTGCTAGTCTATGGAACAAACAGTCAAGCGGGAATGTTCTATTGACAACTTAACGCTTGCATCCGCCAACCCTCTTCGCGATGAACTAAGTACACACAGAGTTTATAAAATGCTTCCTTCCATATTCATACGTTTCACATCACCGTACAGAGGGCACCAGTGTTTGTTTCGGGGTGGGGGGGGGTATAACCGAATCACGGCTACCCCCCCCCCCCCCACCATCCTCCAAACTTCTTCTTCTTCTTCTTCGTTCTTAATTTTTAGTATTGGAATGGATCCCCCTCCAACATAATTAAGGATACGAGTCAACTGGTTATGCGCCATTTAGGCCATTGACTCCAATTTCCGCCTGCTTTTCTTTTTGGATTTGCTTCCATAGCCTTTGTCCAACCAAGAACAAACTACAAGGCAGCAGTTGTTTCATTTTGGAGTTGTCTCTCTAGAAGAGTGGCTGTCCCCAGCTAACGAGCCTCATCTGCCCGAGACCCTCCAAACGAAATAGAATCTATATAGGAAAGATATACTTTTACCTGTGTCCGCCTCTTCGGAAAATTTAGTCCACCCCACCCCCAACATTTCAAGCGTCCGGAGAAAAAAGTCTGGAAGAAACAAAGGAGGGCACTTATATAGAGTACAGCTTATGATTCCCATCCCATGAATATCAGGCTCTCAATGTACTACTAGGTCCTAACGGGAACCTAAAAGTTCAAATTACACGCAAATTGCTTCAAATTAAATATACATGAGTAAATACCGTTTGGGAGGGACTTCAACGTCACTTCCGCTTCACATCCGTTGAAGTATTTCAAACGAATTGTACTTTACGCGCCGCGGCGGGCGAGGTGTTAAAACGGCATCAAATTTTTACGTGGCATTTGTTATATCTTTCAAGCCTGTCAGGTTGCTGATGCTTGTCTTACATCTGATGTTGTGTATGAGAGAAACTGTTACAAGAAATTGTTACAAGTCTTATCTTGCCAAGCGTCTATCATCACAATAGTTCGATGTCTGTGACTTTGTACCACCATTCTTCTTCTTCCTTCTTAATTATTTTTTCTTTTATGTTAGAAGTATTACGTTTCTACTTCTAATGCGCCTTATAGGTCATTTGAATAAGCTTCCATAGCCTTTGTCCTTTCAAAAACAAAAAAATGCAAACCTCATTTGCCCGGGGTTCGACCTCGAACTAATTAGCAACCATGAACTTTACCGACTCGACCACGCCGACTCCTTTTATTCCTTGTGATATAGTCGTAATTTCAAAATAAATATTTTTTATATTTTTTTTTCTGAATTATTTTCTTTGCCTTATATTTAAATATTTATCAAGCTTATATAACTGAAACAATCTCCCTTGTCTCCCTTCTTCAGCCCCTGCACAGGTTATCTTTCCATGGCCCAGGCTTCTGCTACTTGGTCTTATGGCGGAAAAAGGGAAGCCTGGCCTGGAACTCAGCAACAGTCAATGGCACCTACGCCTCGAGGTTCGAACAGGAGGTAGACGAGGTGTACGGCTGCTTCGAAGTTCAGGTGAGACCAACCAAAGACATCGTTTTGTTTTCATTTTTGTTTTCATTTTTTTTGTTTTCATTTTTTTTTCTTGTTTTTTTTTTATGGCCAGCTTGCGATTGTGTTTCAATATATAGTGTGGTGAGTCTAAAAATCGATGTTTTTCAGACATACGAGCCTCGTTTTCAAATTAAGTCACGTACTAAGTTTCGTTTTTTTTTAGAAAGATGGTCAATGATTAAATACGTCCCCATTACCTGGCTAGTATTAAATTAAGAATTAGAAGATCCGTAAATTAAGCTCTTGTCATGGGCTTAGTTCTAAGTACTTTGTCTACAAACACAGTTTATTTTACATAGGAAATAATGGTTTTCAAAAAATAGCGATGATGTTGCTATACCTAATTGTGTTTTAGCCGTACGAAATAGAAAAAAACAATTTATTAACTTTCTATTAAATTATTTTAGTTCGCGCATTTTTGTATTCAGTCACAATACAAGGTTAAAAGTACGAACGGTTTCTTAAAATAAAAATTTCTTTAAAAGTACAATTTTAAAATATTAATAATTTTTGGGAGACAAAGAAAAACAACACAATTTCCTCTTTTCAATCCAAAGATACCCCCCTCCAAGACATTCCTAACCCCTTGGCTATATTGCTCTCCCCCTAACACCCCCCCCCCCCCACCCTCTCTAAAATTACACCATAGAAACAAGGAAAAATTCTCAGTCTAAGAAGAAATCGATATGCCTAGGATTTTAATCTCATTACATTTGGAATTGCAAGTAAAATTCAGCAGTTTAAAAGAAAAAAAAATTATCGAGCAGTAACGCAATTTCAATTTTAAAGTGTGTACGCCGTTTAAGCAGTGTTTACATTCAAATAAAATCCATAACAATCCGACCCTGTGTTTGTGGAAAATGTCAATACTTGTAATTTTATTGTGGGTTATTTTTAGCCCCGTGTTGTCATTTTCAATCGAGGCTGTTCATTTAACAGCAGCTTGACGGCCATATTTACATTTCAAATTAGATCATGGAATCTGTACGAAAGGGAGACAACCCAACATTTCAAGAGATTCAGAGGCGAATAAAAAAAAATCTTGAATGATCAGGTTTAATTTAAATAATTTAACAGAAAATTATCGCGGCACCGAAACCAAAGCGAGACTGAACGTGGTTTTAATTAATGTCAACAAAATGAATAAAAATGAGGGGGAGGGGACAAGGACACACGCTGTGCGGAACAATTTTTAAAAAAAATAACCTGCCGTTAAAAATAACCAATTACCCCCCTTGATTACTGACATGGATGCTTCAACAGCGACCACGACCGGAAGTGTTAGGCGTAATTGGAAATGTCAACCGAAACATACAATCATCTCCTGTCCCAACCACGCGCGTCGTGTCATTAATTGCTCTTTGTTCTGCTCTGTTTTGCGACTGTTAGTTGTAAAGAAAGAGAAAAAAAATTGCTTTTCTTTGAGAGTTTTACAGTTATTTGCTTCACTTTAGTTTTAAATGTTTTTCTTACAAGTTTTTTTTTTAATTATCTCTAATTGTTGGGAAACAAAATAATACTTTTGCTAGAGAGGTGTTTCAAAATTTGTGGAGGAAAAAAAACTTTTGAAATGTTTTTTTAGTAAATATGCTTTTATTTAATTAAATTGCTCATTAGTTTTAGATTTTTAAAAATATTGGCGAATGGTACAAATATCAGTGTATTCATTCATGTGGATAATTATTAAATCTATATCCATTTTTAAATTGTGTTGTAGGTCATCCCTGGATATATTATATTTAAGAACGAAGAAGAAGAAGAAACTATAGCCATTTAACATTGAAGTTTCTTCAATAAAACTTTGTTTTTCTCAATGTAGTACTTCGTTAAGGCTTAAGTTATCTGTTGTTAAACAAATAGTCCATTTCATCGATTGTAAACAGGGAGATGAGATTATAGATGTCGTTAGTGCTATATCAAATAGTTTGTATGGAATCACATCGGCGAGTTTATCCAGCCCTAATTGGTACCCAACACAAATTGGAGAAAATGAATTTATTTCACAAAGAATATTTAAGTTCTACGGGGAAATAATGAATGAACTAGATTTATGCCTATTAAATTATTAAGAGAAGCTACAAGGATATCCGAGGGTGGGGGGGGGAGTTTTTGTACCAGTGTCCAATAATAGAATCTTCTTTAAAAGGGGGTTTTGTGTTACTGATAGTTAACTAAAATACACCCATGACTTGCAAATATCAATGCTAGCCCTAACCCTAACCTTAATCCCAACCCTAGTACTACCAAACTCCTAACCATAATTTCTAATCATCAAACTAGTAAAGATTACAATACTACCAACAAACTAACACACTTTTTTTGAGAACAGTGTATTTTTATCGGATTTCGGTACCTTCAATCATCCGAATATCCTACCTTATATTAAAAAGTTTACCTGATGTGTATATTTGTTGTGTGTGCTTACAGGTGAAGTCAAACAACGATATGGGGGAGGCTCATCAACCTCCGTACATTTACAATGGTCACAGTTTTGAAGCAGGTGAGTTGTAACATCAATTAGTGCAGACAGTGGAAGTCCAGCATGGCTGGCTTAAACACAATCGTATGTTTATGAAGATTTTTCGTTGCAGAAATACCTTCCTGTTTTTTTCTATTGGTTATCATATATTCGGGGACGGAGTGGTCTAGCGGTAACCCGTAAGTCTCGAATTCGAATCCGGGTTCAAGTCAGTAGACCGTCCCTGAGTCCACCCAACTCTGATGGGTACCTAACTCACGTTAGGGAAAGTAAAGGCGACTGGGCTAAGTGCTGACCACACTATCTCTTCATATTCCGAGGTCACAGAAACAAGTGAACTCTACTTCACTTGCCCTACAGACCGTCAGTTTATTTTACATTCCAAACATAGTGGCAGGTCAAACACTATCACTTATTGTAATTCTATAAAACCACAACTAAATCCATAAACAACGGAACAAAAATTGTCACAACTACATAATTTATCATTATATTTTCCACTCCACTGAGAAAACACAAAATCCATACCAACAAAACAAGGAGTCCCATTGCATGCTAGTCTAGTATCTGTATTTTATTAAACTATTCCACAACTTCAAGCTTACTTTACACTAATGTTTGTGTTTTTGTTCAACAGAGCCACTTTTGGTTGTCTCGGGATTTAGACTGGACACGAAGCGGCCCCTGAAGGATAGTACGGCTCACTTCAAGTGGGAGCATGTGGACCCTGGAGACAGGAAAATGAATGGGAAGTTTAGAGGATACAAAGTAGGTGGCTCAAGTACTTAATCATCGTGGCATGATGTAGATGTAAAATATTTACGCTGCTAGATTCTATTGACATTTATGCGTGTTTCTTAATGTGTTAGACACTTTTGTAAATGTCTTAGTTACTTTAGCATCTCTATAGGCTGAGAGATTCTATTTATAATTATGCGTGTGACTTAATGTCTTAAACAATGTTTGCAGCCCTAGATAATGTAGTTAGATATTTAACAAGGGATGTTAGACTAAACTACTGAAGATATCTACATGAGAGGGGGGAGGTTGAGAAATATGACGATGTAAATAGTAATATTCATCATCTTTTCGCGTTTGTGCCCAAAATGTATGGGGCAGATGAAGTAGAGTTCGGCATACAAGGCGATAATGTGGTCAGCACTGTAACCCGCTGCCTTTTGTTTCCCTAACCTGAGTTAAGTACCCATTAGAGCTGGGTGGACTCAAGGACGTTATGCTGAGTCTAACCCGGATTCTAACTCGAGAATTTCGGGTTATAAGTCTTGCTCTCTACCGCTATGAAACGCCGCCCCTAGTGCCAGAATTATGTACAGTTTCAGATAGAAAAGAGTCTATTAGAGTAGTGAATATGAAGTTATAAGGACTGGTTGCGGTTGGAAACTTTTCAGGCGTTAAAAATACATTCTGGCTTGGGTGAGGAGGGGGAAGAAAGAGTATATGAAATTAGGGTGAAGGGGATAGAGAAACTTGGCTAAAACAGTTTTCTTGATATGATTAATATGTTTAAATATTTACACCATGTTCATTATACGTCTACTTAATAATGTTTTAATAGTGAACTCTAAAAAAATTAGATTTTATGCTTGAAATGTTATTAACGGGTGTGTTTATTTGAACTCTAAAAAAATCAGATTTTCTACTGAAAATGTTATTAACGTGTGTGTTTATTTGAACTCTAAAAAATCAGATTTTATGCTTGAAATGTTATTAACGTGTGTGTTTATTTAAACTCTAAAACAATCAGATTTTCTACTGGAAATGGGACGAAGGTGAAAACAGTAAGAAACAGGTGTACATACCGGACACATTGCCAGCACTTCCGCCCGGTGGAGAATTCCGGGGGTCGATTTCCGACTTACCTGCATACTCAACCATCAAAGTCCAGGTGGTGGTTGTCAACACACACTACCACGGACCACCTAGCGACACCATCGATGTCTACACACCTGAAGGAAGTGAGTAACAATTAGAAAGTTGGATGTAGACGGGGATAAATTAGGAAGGGACTTACAATTACTAACAGCCCGTCTTTAGAGACGAAAAAATAAAAATTAAAAAAAGAAGCTATTAGCAAAGAGAAATGTATCTTTCAGAGGCGTAGCGACCCTTCCCGACGCCCGTGGACAAACTTTTGATTTGCACCCCCCTCAAACTTTCGATTTGCACCCCCCTCCCTCGAACTTTTCATTTGCACACCTCCCCTCAAACTTTCAATTTTTTTTTTCAAACCCATTTTGGCGCCCCCCTAAGGTCGGCGCCGGGGGAAATATGCCCCCCCCCCCCTTCGCTACGCCTCTGATATCTTTAGAAACAGAAAGATAAAAAGGAAAGCTGGTAACAATTAGAAATGTATCTTTAAATACCGAAAAGTAAAGTGTATAGCAGTCAGAAACGTGTCTTTAGTCACTGAAAGATACAAATGGAAGGCCTACCAATTACATTTTTATCTTTACACATTGAAAGATAAAAAGAAATTGGATAACAATTAGAAACTTATGTTTAGACACTACTCTATCCCTTTATAGGACGAGGTCACAGATACAGGTAAACTCTCCTTCACTTGCCGAATTGACCGTAGAGTTAAAAAAGGGAACTTAACTTTTTTCACTTAATACATTGAAATATCAAAATAGAAGTGAGTACCTGTTATTAGTAGCTTGTCTTTAGAGACTGTATCATGAAAAAAGGGAGTGAGTACCAATAAGGAACATCTGTTTAAACACTGAACGATAATATAAAAAGTGAGCACCATTTAGAAACGTGTCTGTTGACCGTGAAAATTTAAGAAAGATGGGAAGCGAATTAGAACTTACATCGGAGTCCCGGCTTCAAGAGAAACAAAAACAGTGAATGAGCACAAAGTATTGACTAGATGTTTTACTTTGAACAAAATACTATATTCAATCACATTATGTTATAGTATACAGGAGCATAACTGCTAAACTTTTTTTGTTACTGCAGCTTATAGTTACGGTAAAAAATGAATAGAGAATGTTCTTTAATAAAAAGTAATGAAGGCAATAGCCTATAATAATAAAAACATTTTAGCATAGTAATAAATGTGAAAACAGCACCTTAAAAAGAATAAACAAACTTTTAAAATAATGTTGATTAAAAATGAATGTAACATTTTTATCGAAAATTAATATCGCTAGCGACGTTTTAATTATTCAAGTTAAATGTATAGGGCTGGTAAGTAGGTCACCAACCAGTTCTATGGCTCATGCGGTTTTTATTGAGCCGTAGAACTGGTTGGTTACCGACTTACCAGCCCTATAGTATCCATATTACTTGATTAAAGACTATTGTATTTTTTAAAATAAAGTTTTGATGTTGTTGTTTGTTTGTTTGTTTTTTTGTTAGTTTGTTAAAATAAAAATATAATTCTAATTAGTCACTGAACTATTGATTACAGCACCCACGTCAGTACAAGGTCTGTTTGCTGACTCCATCCTGCCTGATAGTGTCACGTTGAGATGGCTTCCCCCGGAGAGACTCAACGGCATCATCACGGGATACGATATTAGCTATCATCTAGGTGAGTTTCGTCCCTTTGTGGTGGTACACTTGCTGTCCTTTGTCTGAGTTTTGTCCCTTTGTGGTCATGCACTTGCTGTCCTTTGTCTGAGTTTCGTCCCTTTGTGGTGGTACACTTGCTGGCCTTTGTCTGAGTTTCGTCCCTTTGTGGTGGTACACTTGCTGGCCTTTGTCTGAGTTTCGTCCCTTTGTGGTGGTACACTTGCTGGCCTTTGTCTGAGTTTCGTCCCTTTGTGGTGGTACACTTGCTGGCCTTTGTCTGAGTTTCGTCCCTTTGTGGTGGTACACTTGCTGGCCTTTGTCTGAGTTTCGTCCCTTTGTGGTGGTGCACTTGCTGGCCTTTGTCTGAGTTTCGTCCCTTTGTGGTGGTGCACTTGCTGGCCTTTGTCTGAGTTTCGTCCCTTTGTGGTGGTACACTTGCTGGCCTTTGTCTGAGTTTCGTCCCTTTGTGGTGGTACACTTGCTGGCCTTTTTCTGAGCTTTGTCTCTTGATTAGATGGTTTAAAACTTGATACAATTTAGGTGAGTGTTCTCTCTTTGTTGGTGGTACACTTGGTATCCTTTGTGTGAGTTTTGTCCCTTGGTTAGATGGTGTTAACACTTAATAAAATCGAGGGTTTGTTGGTGGTACACTTAATATCATTTAGGTAAGTTTCGTCCCTTTGTTGTGGTACAATTGCTGGCCTTTGTCCGAGTTTTACCCCTTGGTTAGTTGGTGTTACACTTACTATCATTTAGCTGAGTCTTCTACCTTGGTTAATTATTATCCTTTGTCCCAATTTTGTCCCTTGGTTAGCTGGTTTAAAACTTGATACCATTTAGGTGAGTGTTCTCCCTTTGTTGGTGGTACACTTGGTAAATCCGTTGTGTGAGTTTTGTCCCTTGGTTAGATGGTGGTAACCATTAATAAAATTGAGATGAGTTTAGTCCCTTTGTGGTGGTACACTTGCTGGCCTTTGTCTGAGTTTTATCCCTTTGTTAGTTGGTGGTACAGTTACTATCATTGAGCTGAGTCTTCTCCCTTGGTTAATTATTATCCTTTGTCCCAATTTTGTCCCTTGGTTAGCTGGTTTTAAACTTGATACCATTTAGGTAAGTGTTCTCCCTTTGTTGGTGGTACATTGGTAAATCCGTTGTGTGAATTGTGTCACTTCGTTAGATGGTGGTAACCCTTAATTAAACTGAGATGAGTTTTGTCCCTTAGTTAGTTGGTGGTACACTTAATATAATTTAGGTAAGTTTCGTCCCTTTCTGGTGGTACACTTGCTGAGTTTTGTCCCTTAGTTAGTTGGTGGTACAATTGCTGAGTCTTCTCCCTTTATTAGCTAGTGGTAAACTCGCTTTAATTTAATTGAGTATTGTCCCTTGGAGGTATGCTTTCTATCATGCCCCCTGATTAGTTGGTATCATTTAGATGAGTCATCTCCCTTTAGTAGCTTGTGTATCACGTAAAATCTTTAAAACGCGTTGCTTCTAACACAAATTCCAAACAAAATCTAAATAAATAGTTTAAAAAAAACAACCTAGTGAAAAATTACGTAATTGTCGTATTTAAATTTGTTCTTAATGTCTACATTCAAATTGTCAACAATAAAACGTATTTCTGTTAGAAAATAAATTGAAAAAAATAAAGCATCAGTTTTCATTTCTATTGGCAACAAATCATATACTAATGTTTACTATCTTTTACCACAAAATTAGATAAATAGATACAATTGAAAATTTTAAAGAATAAACAAAACCTATATAAGTTAGCCATTTGTAAATAAATTTAAAAAATAGCTATTGTGATAAAGATTGATTTTGTCAACTTTCAGTGAAGGGCAATCAGCTGGGACCACTGGTCAACGTGAAGCCCTCCCCTAATACAGCCCTGGAGCTACAGGCCAGGATAGACCACCTGAAGCCCAGCCACAGGTACAGGTTTACCATCGCCGCCAAAACCCGGGCGGGGAGGGGCGACAATGCTTCTATTGATGTCAGGACTGCCAACAGAACAGGTGGTGCAGGTAGGTGAATTTGGTCGATTTTTTGAGGGGGGGGGGTTGAGTGAGTGACTATTGCGAAGTAAAAACATGCTTTATTCTTTCAATTATTTCTTGCAATTGTTTATAATTATTATTCCTCATCTTTAGTGGAGAAAATGTGAAGTTTGTTACACAGTTCTAGGTCATGGGCTATCATATCACAGTTGTTACTGTTATGGGCCATCATATCCCAAAGTTATGTTTTACTGGGCCATATTATCCCAGGGTTTTCAATCCAGGGTATCCTATTCCAGTGTTAGGACATCCTATCCCAGTTTAACAATCCTTGGCATTTTACCCAAGTTTTTGTCCTAGGCAGCCTATCCCACTGTTCTCTGGGCCATCCTATCCCAGTGTTCTCTGGGCCATCCTATCCCAGTGTTCTCTGGGCCATCCTATCCCAGTGTTCTCTGGGCCATCCTATCCCAGTGTTCTCTGGGCCATTTTATCCCAGTGTTCTCTTGGTCATCCTATCCCAGTGTTCTCTGGGCCATTCTATCCCAGTGTTCTCTGGGCCAACCTATCCCAGTGTTCTCTGGGCCATCCTATCCCAGTGTTCTCTGGGCCATCTTATCCCAGTATTCTCTGGGCCATCCTATCCCAGTGTTCTCTGGGCCATTCTATCCCAGTGTTCTCTGGGCCATCCTATCTCAGTGTACTCTGGGCCACCCTATCCCAGTGTTCTCTGGGCCATTTTATCCCAGTGTTCTATTGGCCATCCTATCCCAGTGTTCTCTGGGCCATCCTATCCCAGTGTTCTCTTGGTCATCCTATCCCAGTGTTCTCTTGACCATCCTATCCCAGTGTTCTCTGGGCCACCCTATCCCAGTGTTCTCTGGCCATCCTATCCCAGTGTTCTCTGGGCCATCCTATCCCAGTGTTCTCTGGACCACCCTATCCCAGTGTTCTCTGGGCCATCCTATTCCAGTGTTCTCTGGGCCATCCTATCCCAGTGTTCTCTGGGCCATCCTATTCCAGTGTTCTCTGGGCCATCCTATCCCAGTGTTCTCTTGGCCACCCTATCCCAGTGTTCTCTGACATGTACAGTTCTGACCATCTGATTTCACACATAACTCACATTCATTGTGATCATAACATTTGGGTTAGGGACTTATATTTTCTATGTTCTTTATTTTACAACAATGACAGTACTGACCAAAAAAAAAACGAAAACTGCCAAAATGGCATAAAATAACTAAACAAAAATGGAATGAACTTTATACTTTCAATCTTTTAAGTACAAAATGTAACTAAATAGCTTCTGTCAGAGCTAACGTCAATGAAATTGATTAAATAAATATAAATGCATCTGGATATATATTTCTTGGATAACTATTAATGAAGTATATGATAATCTTGTTAATGTCTATCTTCATATAATATTATTTAATAAAGCTTAATGATTACTGTGATGGTAAATAATTCAATTAACCTACAAAATTTATTTATTTTTATTCTAGTACCAAGTGGCAACACAATCTACAGGGCGCATAATGATAATCCGATAGCAGATACTAAAGTGGAGAACTCTTCATCCAGAGTTGAGAGTTACTTTTCCCTAGCAACGGCTGTGTTCTTTTTCCATGTGTCTGCATATTTTGTCTTCCACTCCGAATTTTCGTTATGACGTTGCTAAATTACATGGCTTACATGCGCATTGTTTAAATTTTTTTTCAAAATTTAATTATTTTTTTTTAAATGTTCGAACTGGTTGATTTCATATAATTGTTAACATTTAAATTTATGGTTTTTAATTAGAAATATTATAAGTTAAAACTACACAGAATAATTAAGTAAGCTTCGATTTCTAGAGGTTTTTTTTTAAATCAACTAGCTACATAAATCTAAAACTAGTATACTTTTAGATAAAATCTACAAGCGTATTAACTTAGAATTATAATTAATTATCGTTTTTTAAAGCTTTGCTTGATATCACTTTATAATGGATTACGTTATGTGTGATCGATATGTTGTTAATATATTGATTTCAAGTTGTTGCCGACATATATTTGGGATATGTTTTGGCACAATCAATCTTCTGATGCATAACTGCGCATATTGCTTTGTGATTTTTAATAGGATAGCAAATCGCACATATCTAGCTTGAAACAATCAATGTTTACAATGTGTTTACATAAAGTGATTTATTCGATGGGATTTGTGTGAAATTAAGTATATTTATGATGCAATTATTAAAGATTTAAATGATTCTAAACAGTTTTTTTTAAAATCTCCATTGTCTATTGAATGTTAATTTAATAATAAACTAATTAAATATCATGGAACTAAATCTTCCATCCATTTGAAAAGAAATTAATGTTATTAAAAAAAGATTTAGTAAAATACAAAAAAATAATGAAAATGTTTTGGGGTCATGAAATTGTGGGACTTTTCTCTAAAGTAAATTTAATTATAAACTAATCGTATATCATGGACATAAATCTTTGATCTTATCTTTAAATAATGTCATCTGAAAGAAACATTCTAGTAAAATATATAATTTATGAAGAAGTTTTGGGGTCAAGAAATTATGAAATTCTGGGACAGAAGAGCACTCACATTCTCCAGGGTAATCCCATGTGAATTTATTTATGAATGAATGTTTCCACAGTTGTGAATGATATGCAAGATATATAATTTGTGTGATTATATGCCCTGTTTCTTCACGAAAAATCATGTACCCTGATTCTTGAAAGCTAAATCCATTTTACACTGTTCTATTATGATGTAAAAGAAATTTATGAATTACATACGAGTATTTTGTAAAGAAAATGTACATTTTTATTTATAAATCTATGTAAAAAATAAATCATTGCTATAAATTGTTTTTTTGCTTCGTGTAAAGGAAGTATCAACCAATAACATGTTGAGGTGTGTGACTCACTACTGTCGTGAATTATGCTCTCACACATGCACGTCATGCGGAGTACTCATTCTGTCTTACGTCAAGGTAGGTATATAAACAGGGAAACTGTGAACCACTGACATGACATTTACTGACTTGTCATTTACTAGTCAGGAGAAGTTTTTAATCTCGTATTTGAATTCATTCCATCGAAAACTTTACCAGTATTTAATCGAATATATACACTCAAAGAGTGTAAACCATCTTGTCTACTCAAAACTTGATAATATTTTGAGATTATGACATAACTTCTCTGATCTATATATGAGTCACATTTGTAATACATTTTTACTCTTCAGTCATATATTATCTTATAATCTCATTGTTTTTACATGACAATGAATTTAAAAATTGAACCTGCATACTGTAGATACGAGTCAAATTCGTCACTGTTAAATATTTAATTGTGCTCACATTTTAAATGGTTGTGAAAATTTTTCATTTCATACTGCCACTTTGAGAGATATAAGAAAAAAAATATGTTGGTCATTAACTTTCATGTTTAGCTTATATTTTAGCTTACACTTAATTTGATTTCTAGCTGCTCCTTATTATCTTGACCGCAGCAATGAATTTGTATTCCTTCTGCTTTATCGGTTATATTCGGATCTCTGTGATTTTTTAAGTTAGTTGTTTCCTCGTAGATTTTTTTATAAAGTTTGTATTTTGATTTCTACTTGCACATACACCGTAATATTTTAAATATTAGGTTGAATGATAAAATATTTTTTAGACAAAGTAATTTACCATTTAAAAACCAGTGTTTGATTTAACATGGAAAACATGTTTCTTGGTAATGCACAGTACCATTAGTTGTTTTCTTTTATTGATTTAAATAATTGACAAACATCTATGAATAAGTTTTAAATCGTATCAATGTATAAAGGCCAGTATGCAAGAAATATAATTCAATCACCCTTGGTAATACTGGGAATGTTTGCTGTGATATTTTATTTTATCTATTTCACTTCTGTTGATAATTCATGGTATCAAACGACCAGGCTATCCCAACTTTAGTTAACTGAAAAAAACTTGAAGTAATAGTTTTATTTTTTCTTTATGGTTTATAAATACAATCTATTTAAAATTACTACTAAATCTTTGCAAGTTTTTGTTTTAATTGAGGTAAATGTCATCGTTTTGCAATCAAACAGGTTTTAATTAACTTTTTTATTTAATTCTCTAACAAAAGTTTAAGAAACACTGCAATCATTTAATCAACACTAAATAAAATTTCTACCTCTCTTTAATTTCGTCTTATCAAAATTTTTGCATTTTTACATTTTTATAAGTGTTTTAAATTACTTTTTCGATGACTTTGATTTTTTTTTTAAAACTAATTAAATTTCTAATTTATGCATTACTTAACTAAATTAACTCTATCCTTAAACATTGATTAAAATCATTTTAATCAAAATACAGATTTTTTTTCTATCTTCCAGGCAGAATTTATTAATTCAATTGCACAGAATATTGGAAGCTCGTACCTTTTTAGTTTTAATTAAATGAAAAAAAAAATTCGTTTCCATTTTGCATAAAAAATCCAAGACCGGATCTAGCTGCTTACTTTAATGGATTTACAATTAGTTGGCTCTAAAGATGTATCTCTGTTATTTGCTGCTATGTTTATAAATAAAGATGTTAATCGTTTAAATCTCTTAGTTTAATAATATTCTCCGGAGAATTTTGCAGATTTACTCCTACGACATATCTACTGCGTTTTTTAAGATGCCCATTCATTAAACATGTACCAACCAATTAACGAAGATCAACCAATTAAGATTTTCATCTAATAATCTAATATAACAAACACATGTCTTTAATTATGTAATGTTTCTTAATGATGTAAATATCAAGGGAGTCATAATTAATTAATTGTCAGCTTTTCCATCCAACATTTTAAAGATGTGGTAGAAAGCCAAGATAAAATAAATGCAGAATTTTGAAAGGAACATTTTTTTTCTGTGTTCTCTTCTTGTCCCTTGTGTTTAGGGCGTGCAACGATATTTCTTCTCTCTAATCATTACATATTGATAACCCAGTTTTTATCTAAATACGTTCCAAACAAATAATATCAATATCGTTTTTTATTTTAATTTCAGGTTCCTATCAAGAACATTCATTAAAATAAAGCATTCCAATATTGTAAAACTTATTAGCAAAAATGTAATTTTATAAGTTATGTAAAAAAAAAGTTTTTAAATGAAAATTTTGTTTTCTACTTATATAGTTCATGTTTTACTAACATCTTTTAGTGTAAACTAACATTTAAATTTCCTATAAACTAAAAAATTTTTTTCAAATTTTTTATAGGCCACTGGCTTTATTTCATAAGAAATAGGCCTACTGTTTACCGTAGTATAAGATATACGATGATGACAGTACAGACTTACTTAATAGCCAGTCTTAATTAAACAGGGTTTGAATATTGTGGTATGTGCAATATTATATAATTTTATTTGTACAAACATGATATAACTGATATTTGGATACTTTATAAATCTTTTTTTTTAGCATAAGTGATTATTTTGCATGTGCAGGATACAGTATTGCGCGCATGAGTATTTAGGAAATTGAGTTCCCATTATCAAGGTTACTGATTATATTTGGTATGTTGATGATAATTCATGCATTTGTTTTTTTTTAGATAGGTCTACATATTTTTTTTTATTGAGTATAATTTAGGATACTTTTTTGTGACATGTCTTTTTTTTTTAATTTGTCCTCTGACTTTTTATTTTTATTTATAATTGTTTCTTATTTTCCCTGAAGAGAAATAAATAAAAAAATATGTATTCGTATTTTTGTTATCATTTCCCAGTGTAAGGTTAATGTATCGTATAATCATTTATAAGTTTCTATAGCTCGTAATAGACTTAATGTAGATACATTTTTAAAAAGATTTTTTTATCTCTGCATTTTAGAAAAATTAGTTCGAAAATAATTTTTTTAAAGTTGTTAAAACTATTTTATTGTATTTTCTTTATAGACTTAATTGGATAAGCTCATTATTTAAAAAAAAACATATGCGGAATAGAATCATATGGGACCTTATTAAAAAAAAATTACAATTAATTCTGAGGCCCACACATAAAATCCTGCCATTTGGGAAGAATTTTAAAATTGCTATGTGCTTCTAAAAGGTTTTTTTTAAAATTCCAAGCCATTAGTTGTAAGAAACAAAACTTTTATATTAGCCACCTCGGTGCTTTGGCCATTTCATTTTAATGAGAATTAAATCGTTGCCGCAGAGACGCGAATTCTTCTCAAAGAATTGCAGACGGCATCCCCAGGGAAGGAGAACTCTTCATAAATAATCATCCCCTAAATCTATTTACTCACCTCAGAGACGCTTGTGTCTTTTTCTCCCGCCCCCTCAAACCCCTCCCCCTCCCCCAACCTCAAGAACAAAAAGCCATCGTTTAGTTTAATGTGTCGCCATCTTCCTTGTGGCTGTTTTTTTTTCTTTCTTGCGTCTTATCAGCCGAGTCCCATATTCCCACCAACACCCATTCCATTCATCTCGAAACTTCTATTTTTATTCCAACTCGGATTCATCTAACACAATTTTCTTCTCCCTCCCCCCCTCCCTCCCCCGACCCCTTACCCTATCGTCCTGATGGTCTGTGGTTAAAGGTTTATTTAAATCTAGATTCTCACTTTTCCCCACCCCTCCCTCAACCCCCACCCTATCGTCCTTATAGTCTGTGGTTAAAGGTTTATTTAGATCGCAATCCTCTCCTC